TAATCATCATTCCCCAAAATGTTTTTCCAGCAAACAGTTATTTTTGCTGTTATTTTAAACATCAGTAAAAGATCATTTTGAGTCGGGGCTGAAAACTGCTACACTTTTTTAATATGCAAATTTAATTATCTCTGTAATTTAACAAAAGGAGGATCTATGTGAAGAAAAAAGACTTTCGAGCACATCTACTTGCCTTCTTAAGCTTCTGATACCTCTCTTCTGGAGTGTCAAAACCATTTGTCAGGGCACTGACTGATGGTCCATCACTGATTCCTAGATATTTAAGACACAAGTTTTTAACTTAATGCTAGTGTAATGTCAATCACTCAACAGCTGTATAGTTTCAAATTCTTATAAAGTAAGACCAAATAAAAGTGCTCCCTGCTTTTCTCAAAGTTAGCATTAACTTGGAGCTGGGGGTGTAGCTCAGTGGTCGAGTGCCTGCCTAGTATGCACAAAGCCCAGGCAAGGCCTTGGACTTGACGTTCCAAAGGAGAGTGCTGGCAAACCTATGACAAGCTGCAATGGGCTGTCTGTTATCACTGAAAGGTCTAAAAGGTTCTTATCACTGCCCTAGGAGTTGGGGAGAGGGGGATTACTCAAATACATACACCTGCCCAAGGTAGGTAACACCTCACAGTGTTTAAACGAGTATACTCATTAACATGCAAAATCCTGATCCTAACCAGTCACAAAAGGACAAATATCGTTCGATTCCACTTATGTGATCTGTATAGGTAGTCAAATTCATAGTCACTATGTACAGTAGCCAAATTCACAGAGACAAATAGTGTTTGCCAGAGGCAGGAGAAAGTGAAAATGTACAATATCAGTTTGGGAATATAAATTATGTTATGCAAATTTGTCACACACACATACAAAACAATCTGCCCCTAATCCTCAAGCTCTCTACCATGTACATGTAAACTGCTTTAAGGGACACCAAAACAGTAATTTCTGTCCCCAACCTCACAGCCTGATCAATCACAAAACCACTGCCATCTCTTCCATGCTTTTTGAAAACGTTTAAGAGTGAATACTAAGACTTCCACAACACAAGGCTACAAAGAGTGAGGAGCAGCCAGCAGGCGAAAACTTAGGGAACTGGGAAGTGGGAAGGAGGAGGCAGCTGAAGGACACTGAGCTATGAGTTGCAAGGTGCTGCCCGGAGCTTGCACGGGATACCTGAAAACTCCCCATCGATGGCGAAGAAGTCGGCCTCCTCTATGGCCTGGTACACTTTATGAAGGTTACTCTTAAAATCTGCGGAGAAACCGAGAAGCAGCTCAGAAAGCGAGACCTGGCTTCCTGTCCACGGACTCCTAAGGGGAGAGGGAAGGAGGGTCGCGGGGTGCCTGGGGTCTCAGGCTAACGGAGACACGTCCCAGAAGTGTGCAAGGGCTGAAGAGCCTCAGGACCCCCGCGGTGCACAGGCCAGGCGTGGTGAAACCCCCAGCGGGTGGCTAGGCCAGAGGGGAACAAGGCCCCGTGGGTCCCCAGACTGGAAGATTTTAAGGCCCTTGGGAGTGGAGTGCACATTCCGCAGAAGAGCAAGGGCCCAGAGTGCACCGGCTGGAGGAGTGCAAGGCGCACAGGGGCTGGCTCGGCCCTAGGCCCTGCCGAACTCGCGGCCGCGGACCAGGCCTAGCAGGCTGGGTGAGTGTGGTCAAGGGGAAGCGGGGAGATGCGCCGCGGACACGCACTGTTCCTAATTATCTCCATTCTTCCGAGTGGCCGGAACCCCGGCCCCGCCTCAGCCGTTCTACCCGCAGAGTTCCGTAGCTACCGGGCTGGCCACGGAGGTGGCAGAGGCAGGCAGCAGTAGAACACACCGCCGGGGCGACTTCCGGGAACAGCGCGCGCCTGCTGCGCCTGCGTCAGCGTCGGAGGCGGGACCAAGGCTGAGGTCCTCTACCTCCTTCCTGGACCCGAGGAGAACCCTGGCCATCGAGTCCCCAAGGTGGAGCCTAATTTAGGAAGGCATTCGCTTGGAAAAATATGCAGTCTTGACATATGGTTGATCAACAGTTATTTACTGGGCTCCTTGTACAGTACGTGCCTCTCTAATAGAGGTAGAGTTACACTGATGAACAGGAAGGATGGTCCCAGCCCCCCTGGAGCTTAAATTTGGGGTAGGAAGGAGAAAGACCAGAGCCAGACTTGCCATTTGGAAACGCTCTGAAGAAAAAACAAGGTGCGGGGCCGGGGATTTAGCTCAGTGGTGCCACTGCCTGCTTCGCAAGCGCAAGGTCCCGAGTTCCATACCTGGTACAAAAAAAGAAAAGAAAGAACAAGGTGCTGCAATAGAGAATCATTGGGGTGGAAGGTTACTTAGGTGATCAGAGAAATCAAATGATAAAGTTATGGTGCGCAGACCAGCATAGGAACCAAGGACAAACTCCTAGGCCCTTCACCTCTTATTTACCAAAAGCAGGGGTCGTGTTTTCTCCTAAGGTAATCAGGGACTTAAAAGTGGTTTTGCTAAAAATTGTGACTTCACAAGGGCCTGCAGATGCCCAATAGGTAACTAACAATAGAACAAAACCTTGATTTTATGAAACCCTGGGTCATATCCTTCTCACCTCTGAATGCAGGGATGTTAGACATATAGGGGAGGGGTCCCCAACCCCCAGGCCATGATGATACTGGTCCTTGGCCTGATAGAAACAGCCACAGGCTGGGGATATAGCTCAGCGGTTCAGTGCCTGCCTGGCAAGCACGAGGCCCTGAGTTTGATTCCTGGTACCAAAAAAGAAAGGAAAACTAGGTCACAAAGCTGCATCTGTATTTCCAACTGCTCCCCATCCCTTGTATCACCATCTGAGCTCCTGTCAGCTCAGCAAAGACGGTGATGGTGAACCTTTTAGAGACCAAGTGGCCAAACAACTGCAAACCAAAACCCATTTATTTATCACAAAGTACCAACACTGCAATTAAACCTGAATACTGAGGTTCTAGTTTAGAAAAAAAAACAACTCATATATTAACATCTTTTGTCTTGAAAGAAAAACACAATAACAGAGCTTTGTGTAATAACAAACAGCTTCTTATTGAAAGGTAAAAGTTTGCATTTGGCATGCTTTTGCACAATTAATGTGATCTTTGCTGCATGCTGATAATTTTCAAACCTTGGCTGGGATGGCTTGGCTCGTGTGCTGATGAAGGCCTCTGCATGGCCGCTGCAGCACGTGTGCCATAGGTTTGCCATTACTGAGCTGAGCATTAGGTTCTCATTGGAGCAAGAACCCTCCTGTGAACTGCACATGTGAGGGATCTAGGTTGCACACTCTTTTTGAATCATGGAGTAGTTTCACCCATGGAAAAATTGTCTTTCATGAAACTGGTCCCTTGTGCCAAAAAAGTTGAGGACTGCTGATTTAGGGAGTGTCTGTCTAAAAGTTGGAAAAACAAGTTTTATTAACCCTAAATTCACCTAGCCTGTCTTATTACTCTTCAAACTAAGGACACCAGGATGAGAGATTTATAGGGACATCCAGTTGTACCCAGAATCTCCACTGACCTAAACCTATAGTCATTCGAGATTCCAGCAGAGCCTCACATGACTGGAACTGTCCCTCAAGTCAGGAGGATTCATCCTGAGCTAAGAGACCAGGTTTGGAGAGGAGACCCTGGCCCACCTCAGTTAATTCTTAAAAACTGGCCTCCAGGGGCTGGGGATTTAGCTCAGTGGTTTCCACTGCCTGCCTTGCAAACACGAGGTCCAGAGTTCGATCCCCAGTACCAAAAAAAACCCCCTGGCCTCCTGCTTTTGTGGGCGGACCAGTCTGCACTTTCACCAGAGTGCGCCCCCTGCAGGTATTACCCTGAGATTGCTATTTATCATCAAAGTCTTAACACTGGGCTGAGATGCAGTAGATGCTCAATAAAATGTATTCAGTACAAGAATTCACCTTGGTCTTTCACAAAAGCCAATTAAGTTGTTTTCAAAGGTTAGCTCTGGAATGTGTTCAGTCTTCCTAAACTTCAATTTTCAGGGTTTGTATTGAGGATCATTGGTGTTAAGGTATGTGAATTGTGCTGTATAAATAAACCCATACTAAGTGTTTAATGGGAGCAGAGTTTCAGTTTGGGAAGATGAGCAGTGGTGATGGTTCCCTAACTATGAGAATGTACTTGGTGCCAATGAACTGTAAAGCCAGTTAAAATGGTTCAAATAGTAAATGTTATGTTATGTATATTCTAGTACAAAAGGAAACAAAATTTACTCCCAGGCGTGCCGGAACAGGTATGGTAGGTATGTGGGCACACAGCTGATGCTGGAGGACAGGAAGCTCAAACCCAGACTGGGAGGTGACTGAGACCCTTTCTGTTTTTTTTCTTTTTTCAGACAGGGTCTCCCTGTGTAGCCCAGGGTGGCCTCGAACTCGCAGCGAATGCTGGGGTTACAGGCGTGCACCACCACGCCCGACCTAACATCAACAGTTTACTGCGTACCCATTGCCAGATTATCCTCCGGAAGATGAGCTCACACCCACTGCGCTAGAACAGAATATTACCGATCTTCACTAAAATTCGATAGGTGGAGGGGAAAAAAAAGTCACCTCAATTTAGCAATTAGACAATTTCAAGACGCTTTAAAACAGGTAATCAACGCGAGTTCTCCACAAACCCAAACACTGTGGGAAAGAGGAGAGGACGTGGTGATAATGTCATTTTGATTCCAATCTGCTCAACACTGTAAAGTTCAACTTTAGTTCTGATTTTTTTTTGCATAAAATGTGCGAAGAAAAATTGTGGAGACCACAATGCGGTCTTATAATATTTTAATTCCTGGGCAAGGCTGATTCCTCTGGTTGCAGAAACAGCCGCCTCCGGAGAGTATTTAGTCACAGGTAACCACCCTCCTTCGCCTCCGGGGCTAATTCCCGAGCTCGCGCCCTATGTCTTTCAGGGAAGAGGAAAAGGCGTGGTCACTGGTTGTACGCATGCGCCCACGTTGTCCGCTCGGGAGTGGCCGCTCTAGGCAGCGGGGAGGTCGCAGGGTTGAGGAGTTTGGGAACTGAGTGCGGCCTCTTCTCTATGGTCGCGGGCTGGGGGACAGCGCCGCACTCGGTCCTAGGTTACCTTCGGAACTGAAGTCGCCACCTCCCCGCTTCTTCCGCGGGGATCCGTTGCGGGGGGGGGGGGGGGGTGGGCAGTGGCCGCGTAGGACCCTGGACTGAAGGAATGGTGAGCTTTGGCGCGTCGGGGGATTGCTGGCTAGGGGGCAGCTTGATGTTAGGGCATAGGGTGGAAGATGCACTGGGGTCCCCTCGCCTGAGCCGTTCCGGCCAGGTAGGAGGAGGCACGCAGGTTTTTGCTCGCCCAGGGCTGGGTCCTGGGCAGCTGTGTCCTGGCCGCTGGGTGCAGACTGCAAGTTGGCCGACTTCCCCATCTCTTCCTCAGAATCCCACGTCGACACGGCTGGTCCCTCGGTTTCAGGAGCGGAGCCGCAGCTCCCGGGCTCCTCACGCGGCTGGGGTGGGAGGCGTCGCCTCTACCCACCTCTGAGGAGGGGGACCGAGGGACTCCTGCCCGCCAGGAGCGCTAGAATTGATCGGGCCCCTGATAGGCGCCAGATTGAGTTCACGGTCTGTTGGAGAAGGAGTGATTGTTTCCCTAGTTAAAAATGGGGTAACGGAGGCACAGAAAGGAAAAATGAATCTCCAAAGTCACACAGAAGCTGGGCTAGAATCCCCGCCTCACGGCTCCGAAAGCTAAACTTGTGCAAAAAGGAGTTTTCTTTTTATTAAAAGAAGAAGGGGAAGGGGAAGGGGAAGGGGAAGGGAAGTGTGGGAATGACTCAGGTTATTTGGGGATGTTTGGCGGGGCTAGAGCCCCCCCTCCCCCCGCCCCGTAGAGGAAAGTGATATCCCAGACGCTGCCATGCCCTCGACTATTGTCCCCGTTAGGGCCTCCCTGCCCAAGCCCATTGGTCTGTCCTTTGGGGTGGCCCTAACGTCACACCCAGAGAGGCCAATAGGCAGGAATTTTGCTCTCCTTCTCAGGCATACCCCAGAGCTGGTGCAGACTGCACGTGTCAATAGGATTTGTTCTTGTTGTTTTGTAAATAGCCTGGATGTATCCTGATCTACGTTTTCTCTGGCTAATTCCATCAACTGATTGAAAAACTACTTCTCCAGGGCAGTTCTGTCATTTGTGTTTTCCTTCAGCGTTGACTTTTTCCAGGGTCGACACTAGCATAGTTGACACTACATAGCACTCAAGAAAATGCTGTACCAATCAACCATACAGCAAACTCTTTTCAGTATTTGTGGATACAATTTGTTGTCTAACCCTCCTGTTAATGCTTTGAAGTTGATGTTCTTATCCTGGCCTGATAATGGGAACTGTGAGACCCAAGGAGAATGAACGGTGACCTGGTTTGGAACCCAGATTAGTCTCACTTCTAAAACCATACTGTTTCAATTCTACCAGCCTCTCCAGGGAAATTATAGTCCAGGAGATGAAAAAACATACACAAATAAATGTTACACTAATGCACAGAGGTGGGAAAGATTAATTTCGGTGTTGGGGAGTTAGTATTTAAGGACATGATATGAATCTTATCATTGGATATCTTTGACTCAGAGATGGTATGGAGTTGTGTTACAGATGGGAACAAAGTGAGAATGTGGAAAAATGCCCAGAGAGCAGAACTTGGTAGTTGGCACCACTGTAGTACATCAAGAGAACAATAGAGGAAAAAAATCATGGTAATGGTACTGGCTAATGCTTTCATAGTACTTACTGTGTGCCAGGCATGATTCTGAGTGCTGTGAATGTAGTAATTGCTTTAATCCTTTCTAGATTATTGACATCCCTATTAGGCAGGTAACTATTAATAAACTCATTTTACAGTTGAGGCAACTGAGGCAGAAAAGGTAAGTGACTTGCCTAAAGCCATACAGTTAATAATTTGGGATTTTTAACTCACTCATTCTGGCTCTAGAATTGGTATTGTAATTTAAAAAATTACTTTGATTGAGGATGAAGGTGTAGCTCAGTAGTGAAGTATGTACTTGGTATGCAGAAGGCTCTGGGTTCAATCCCCAACACCCAATAAAAGTTATCTGGCTTGCTAGCTAGACTTCAATGACTAGCTTAGGACTGTGGATTTTTTTTTTCTTGTAGTAGGGAACTTTTTGAGCAAAGGAGGGGCTTGAGGGGAATTTTGCTCTGGAAGGATGATTTAGGCACTAAAGAAAAGAAGGACTGATAAGAGGATATGAAGTGTTACTTAATCTTTATTTTGTTTGTACCTTGTCTGAGATTTGTATGTGTATGTAACAATGCTCAAGTTCCAGACTTCCCTGCACATATAATGTTCTGAAGGGTTTGTTTAAAATGCACAGTCAGCTAGGTGTGGTAATGCACCCCTGTAATTACAGCATGTGGAAAGCTGAGAAAGGGGAATCATGAGTTTGAAGCCAGCTTGGGTTACATAGTGAGACCCTGTCTCCAAAAAAAAAATGTAGTCAGCCCTCTCTATCCTCAGATTCCATATGTGTGAATTCAGTCAACTATGGACCAAAAATTTTGAGAAAAATAAAAGTGCCCAAAGCAAAACTTGATTAGCAACTTTTTATCTGGTGCTTACATCGTATTAGGTATTTTAAGTAAGTTAGAAGTGATTTCAGGGATACAGGAGGATGTGCATAGGCTATATGCAAATACAATGCTATTTTAAATGCAGGACTTAAATGTCCCCAGATTTTGGTATTTGTGGGGTGTCGTGGAACCAGTCCCTCATGGATACCAAGGGACGACTGCATTTACCAGCCTTGTTCCCAGACATCCTGGTTTGGGGTCACCAAACTCCTCAGGGGCTTCTGACAAAGACATTAAGAGCTATTGTGATAAGGAGTCAAATATTGTTGAGTTGATTTGCAGTTGGAAATCTAGAGTCCAGCGTTGTGCCTGTCGCTCTCAGGTATGAAGATAGAATTCAGTGGCTTGGTTCCTCGCCATGAGGAGCCCAGGATTTGACTGGAACGGCAAAGACCTGGCTGAAGCCAAAGTATATAAAAAGTGTAAGGGTTAACTAAATCTGAAAGAGATACTGAGGAATACTGAATCATAACTGAATTTTTTTGTTGTATCGGGGATGGAACCCAGGGCCTTGTGCATGCTAGGCACATATTCCCCAGTACCAAAAATAGAATATCTTAAAACCAGTAGTTAAGGTGTGGGTTACTTGGTAGCCATTGTACTAAAGCTCTGATTTGTTGAACATCTACAGAGTTTAGTACAGGGTAGGTCCTTGAATATCTGCCACATAACCGTGGAAGAGGACAGGCACAGAGAGAACCTGGATGCCCTTCTTACTCTGCCCTCATCTTCCCCAATACCACCCAGGGCAATAAAACACGGGACTTCAAAGTTCAGGCAGCAAGTCAATATCCAAAGGAGCTAGCTACCTTTGTCCTAGTGATTTCTGACCCTGTCCAAAAAACTCTTTCTGGAACAGGAAAAAGAAAAGGTTTTATAGACTGGAAATGCTTCTCTTGATTAAGAGCCAGTTTAGCTGCCTGCAGGAAGTACATGTAATGTTCTGTTCTTATTGACATTTCTGACCTTATTTCACTCACCTTGGGCACATTTGCTTTTGTTTCACAGTCACTGGAAAAGGATGGACACTCTTTGAACATTTAATATGTCTGAAGTGTCCCACTAGTGTTTATAGTGGTATCCCCAGGAGTAGGCCCGGTGTGCCAGAAATAGTATTTCCCCACTCATCCCTCCCCGTTTTTGCTGTGAACGTCTGCATAGAACTGCAAGCTCAACCTAAAGGCTACCAGTGGGAGTTCCCATTCCAAAACAGTGTTGTCCGATCCTAGTTTGTTTTTCTCAGCTGTGCAGTAGCAGCTCTCTTATGGGGCCTAGATAATAAGGGTACATCAGTCCTTTGAACTAATAACTGTTAATAATTACTTCATTGGGGTTAATATCTTTTTTTTTTTTGGTACTGGGGCTTGAACTCAGGACCTTGCACTTGCGAGGCAGGCAGCGGAACCATGGGATTAATATCTTTATGGAGGTAGACTTTAAGTCAGACCATGATTTAAAACCTGGTTCTGCCATTTACCAATTAGGCTTCCTTTGTCTTATCTGAAAAATGGAAATGATTAATTCTTATCCCCTAGGATTGTTGGTACTTTCAAATTATAAGGGCTCAATAAATATTAGCAATTGTTATTTCTGTTGTCAGATAATATGTAATGAAAATAAATAGCCTAATTAGAGGCCTAAAGAAACCAAAATCTTTTTTTTCTCTTTTTTTCCTATGGTGATGGGAATTGAAACCAGTTCTCTGAGCATGTAAGCAAATGCTCTACTACTGAGCCACATCTCAAGTCCCAAATCTTTTTATTCTTGCACTGAACATCCTTGCAAAGAAATGATGGAGATCACATTGTTCAGGCTAAACTCCAATAACTTAGCCCTTAAAAGGAATATTCCTAAAATATCAGGAGTGTACTATACTCACAATAAATGTGTGTTGAATGAAGGGTAAAACTAATATACTGCTGAAGCAAGCAGTTTGAAGATTATACTTTCTTTTTTTTTTTTTTTGGTACCAGGGATCGAACTTGCAACCTTGCACTTGTGAGGCATGTGGCAGAACCACTGAGCTAAATCCCTAGCTTGAAGATTATACTTTCTAAAGAGTTAATAGTCATTACACAATGAGATCTTTAAGCTAAGGCATAAAAAATCTTCACTTAAACTGAGAACCAGTGCATTCTCTTTCAGTAAGATCAATAGAAGTTACCGTGTCAGCTTTCCTCAGTGGAAGTGACTTTATTCCATGGGTGACTAAAGAAGCAAACAGGTGATGCAGTGCTATCCCCCCTTCTGGATGGTTGCCCTGCAGATAAACCTATGGATAAGCTCCTACTAAGCCAGACAAACAGTTTTCTTTCCAAAGCAGGGCATAGCTTCTTTCCTTCCATAGCATCACTAGGAGACTGTGTCCCTGTCTTTCTTTCCTGATCGTCAAGTAACTGTACCCTGCCTGTCAGTTGGATTTGTCTTCTATGTCATAACATAGAAGGTCATGTCAGTAGATACATTGGAGGGGCCTAAGTTATCAGAGGCTATACTGTGGCCTCTGATGAGAGTCAAGCCAACTACGCCCTTCTAGATGTGGTCCCTGCCGTTGACTGGAGCCTTTCACGTACACAGTC